TGTGGATGAGAGATCAAAAAAAACCATTGCTGTTTTAGTAGTAGTTTTTCCACATATGTCTAGTTCTGTTTCTAATTAACCAAAAATGCGGCGTTTCCTCCACGGCAGTACCATATATGATTCTGGCGCTGAAGGCCATAGAACACGTACCGGGCGTTTTCGCCCCGAGCTAGTGTGATATCCAGGTCCAGCAGGTAACTACCCTTGAGGACAAGTTCTCAACAAATCTGGTATTGAAAAGTGGTTGCGCCAGCGTGTGTATTGCGGGTGCCGGTCGGTCTCTAGCGAAACGGAAGAGATAGCCGTGATTGAAGGGTCAAAGTACCCAAGAAAAAAAACCTCATTCAAATCCATCCACGGGGGAAAACCGATCAAAATCGGTGGTCGGATCTATCGAATACTGGGATTAGGGCAAATAGTTTCAGAAGCTCTGACTTGACTGTCTCCGCCCATACTATCAGTGTGAACTTAGCCTCGGAGAGCTTCGCTTGTTTTGTGCTTTTTTTCAATATTCAATATTTCCAAACGCTTCGACGGAGCAATTCGTAGAACGCTAAACATGTGAAGCAGTAGAAATCACCAGGGCAAAGCTACAAGGAAAAGAGAAACTGGCAGTATCCTATTTCGAGAATATTCCAGCACCTACCTTAAAATTGATGCTTTTATCGTCCACCAAAATTGCTGAAAGCATTGGTATGTACGTGCCAGCGTATGATTCTCCTGCAGCATAAAAGTCATTCGTCATGCGTTCGGGGAATTTCTGAAAATGTTTGAAGGAACAGTAAGTGCTTCTCTGATAGGTCAGTTACCATTGCTTCAGTAATGTACCTTGAACCACTCTTTCATTGCTGCGTAGTTGTCCAAGGCCACTTCTGTGTCTGTGTAATCCCATAGGCCATCAAGACGAATTGAGAAACCAACACCAGCTGGTGCGTCAAGATAGATAATATTAGCGTACTGGAAAAAAAAACATTATTAATATAGAAGCAGAACAAACAGGAAGCACGATGAAACCAACGAGAAAAGCGAGAGATTACAGTAAGGGCGAGTTCTTTCCGATTTGGTATTCTGCTTCCGTGTTCTTCGGAAGGAAGTCAAGTTGTCGGCCAGTAAGTATTGGTGTTTTAGGCCTACGAGCACTAGACATGGTGGGTTTAACCTTC